TAGTGGTGGTTATTCTATTGCATTATGTTTTCAGGCTTTTTATTAGATATAAATTTCAATTTACTTATAAAATATTCTTATCCCATTAAAAATGGCATTTTATTTATAAACTCTGCAAGACATTTGCTTATATACCACTTACCCTATAATAAAACCGGGGAATGGTCTTATAGAATTCATTTGTGTTTCTTCTACCTCCTTTCCATTCTGAATAGTATTTGGTAAATAAATCCATTTCTTCATCTTTTAATTCCTGTTCACTTTTTTTTCCTGGTAACAAAATAGATTAAGGGGAAAAAGCACTTGTATGTATTTATTTATTACCATATTTTATTGATTATGCTATTATAGTTGTTTCAATTTCATCACCCTTTGCCCACCTCCACCTGGTATCCCCCATTCCCTCAAACAATCTCCCCTCTTACTTTATGTCCATGTGCGTATAAGTCTTCTGGCTACTCCATTTCCTATACTGTTCTTAGCACCCCCATCTATTCTGCATCTACCAGTATTTCTTAATCCCTATACCTGGGAAAAAGCACTTTTAAAATCAAACAGTACTTTTCTCAGGTCAGCTATCTACTACAATCTAATAATAGCCTTAAAAAAGCCCTTATAGTTGTGCTTAGACACTAAACATTTATATTAACTTTTTTGATACCAAGAATCACTACCATGCACCGAAAAAGCCTCCTCTACATGTTCAAACACTCTCAGCTGGCCCTCTACATTTTTTTCATTGATTTTAGAGAGAGGGAGGAAGGGAAAGAGAGAGAAACATCAATTTGTTTTCCCACTTACCGATGCATTCATTGGTTGATTTCTTGTCTGTGCCCTGACCAGGGACTGAACCTATTGAACCTGCAGCCTTGGCTTATTGGGACGATGCTCTAACCACCTAAGCTACACAGCTAGGGCCTACTTTTCTTTTTTTTAAATCACTGTACTTTTCTCTTCCTGAAGTCACTGCCTTTGTTATAGATAGATACCTAGCAGGTTCTTAATTCATTCAATCCTATCTATTTACTAAGTACCTACTACATACTAAACACTGTACTAGACACTGGTGCTACAGTGGTGAGAAAACAGGCACAGCCCTTGACCTTGTGGAATCAGCCTCCTAATCACTGTGTCTCTACCTAATGCAAAACCCTTTCATCTGAAGCTCACATATCTGGACACCACCACCTTCCAACCCACGTGCTGCTGGCATGCAGCTGTGTCATTCGGCTCATTCCTCCACACTTGACTGAAGACTGGTGCAAAGCATTCTTTACCTCAAAGTCCTGCAATCATCATGGAAGAACAGACATTTATGTGGTACCCCTCAACTGTGAAGGCTTTAACCTCCACTGTGTCACTCAGTTGCATGGCAAGACCATAGATCTTACCTGCTCCTCTTCTAAAATCTTAAACTCTAATATATATACTCTTAGATCATTTTTCTCTTCTCCTGGTTATTCAAAACCTCACTGCTGTAATACCTCCACTTCAGCCTCACTAAGATCTTCAATTCTATTGTCTATTTTCTCAAAGGTTTATTTTCCTCTCCCTGGTCTCATTTCCTTCTCAAAATGCCTGTAGTTAGTTCTTCCCCTAAACTCCTCTTATGCCTGCATTTCTGCCCCATGTGCCATGTTAAAATTTTTTACCCTGGGACCAATCTTATAATCTATTTTTTTTACCATGTTTAATATCGTTGGGGAAAACTGCAAAATTCTGGTCCCACAAATTTATTTCATGGTTACTAATTAATGTCAGCTTTTCAAAACACCAGTACATAATTTATTTGCCCTTGATGTTCTCTGGATTATTCCACTTGGTGAGTGACTGCTCCAAATTGTCACTAAATTCCTCAAACCTCCTCTGTGTTCACCCTCGATAAATGACGATTTCTCCCAATTCATCAAAAGCAGAGCATTGGGCATGGATACCCATAAACATCTAAATGAAGGAGGAAAGCAGAAAGGTATCACATCTCTACCTTACTTTCTTCTGCCAGTTTCAGGAAGAGAGGTATCCTTCCCCCTTTCAGTATCTTCAATTTCATCTCTACTGGCTTTTTTTAAACCTTACAAATACACAGAGACTTCACCCATCACCCCCAAAACTCCTTCCTTTCTATCTATTGCCACACATAACTCCTTCCTTTTTCGTTCATTTTTTTCGACTGAAAGTCTATGTTGATTATCTCTGCTTTCTTAACCTCTCATCTCCTCTTCATGAAATTCTGCTTCTACTTTTCCACTCTATGAAAACCGTTCTTGCCAGGGCAACCAGTGACCTAGCTGCTTATTTTATTTTAATTTTTTAAATAAATTTTATTGGGGTGACATTGGTCAAGAAGATCATATAGGTGTCATGTACATTTCTGTGCTATATGGTCTGTATATTATTATACTGTGTGCCCACCACCCAAAGTCAAATCATCCTCTGTCCCCATATATTTGGCCCACTTTACCCTCTAGTACTCCCCATCCCCTGGCTTAGTTTAATGGATGCAGCCATCCTTGGTTTCTCTGTTAAATTTGATACTGTTGATGATTCTGACCTTTTCTCAGCTTTTGTGAGGCCACACTCTGTTGATTCCACTATTTTCTGGCCTTTTCTTCTTTTCTGTTAATCTTCTTCCTCTATCATTTCAACTTTTATAGTTTACTTGGGACTTTCTAAGTCCCAAACCTGTGTCACTTCAATGTTGTTGTTGGGAAGAAGAGGAAGAAAATGCAAAGGCCGAGACGAGATGACTGGTGATCAGGAGGAACACTAAGAGCATGTCTCTCAGAAACCAAGAAAAGGAAGTATGTGTAAGAGGAGAGAGAAATGAGACAGAGCTGGATGTGGAAGCTAAGACAAGAGCCTCTTTAAGATGGAAGAAATATCATCATGTTCATAAGCTGATGGGAATGACTGAGAAGGAAAAACTGATGATGCACTAGAGAGGGGACCTGTCCTTGAGTAGGCAAAAGTTCAATCTAGCACACCAGTGAACCTTAAATACAAGTCGTACACACCTATATGATTTACTTATTGTCTCTTCCAACAAGTGTACGTTGTACAAGAATGAGGGTTTTTGTGTTTTGTTTACTGCTGAAGCCTGGAAAAGTACTTGGCACATAACAGACATGCAATGGAATTAGTTTTAAGGGTGAAGGGAAGGAGAAAGCACAAATACAGGTAACTTTTTCAAGATGTTTTCCTATAAAGGGTGCAGAGAAATGTAGCTAAAGCTGGAGGGGCATATGACATCAAATGATTTTTTTTTAAGATAGGGGATATTACACATGTTTGTTAGAGCAGATGGAAGTGATCCAGTAGATAAAGAAAGTTTGATGATGCATGAGAGAGGGGGTAAGGCCAGAGTGAAGTTAGTGAATAAAAGGGGTCATGATCTAGTTTTGGGCTGGAAGGACAGTCTCAAAAAGGAGCATAGGCAGTCCCCCATTTAAAAAAATTTTTCATTTATTTTTAGAGAGAGGGAAGGGAGGGAGAAAGAGAGGGAGAGAAGCATCAATGTGTGATTGCCTCTCATGTGCCCCCCACTGGGGACCTGGTCCAAAATCCAAGCATGCACGCTCGCTGGGAATGGAACCGGCAACCCTTTGGTTTGCTGCCTAGCACACAATCCGCGGAGCCACACCAGCCAAGGCCAGTTCCATGTTTTCAACTATGTTGTTAAGGGACTGATAGAAATGGTAAATGGGAACAGGTGAGGTTCTTCTTCGACTGCTTCTTCTTTCTTAAATATCTATGTATACAAGTTCATCACCTAAAAGTAAGGAGTAGGTAGGCTACATGGGAAGGCTGGAGGTTTGGGACATGAGAACTACTTTGGAGTTTAGGAGAGCGAATGTGTAGGAAAATACAGAAGTGTAAAGGAATGACTGAAACACCTACTTTAGATTAAGAACATGAATTAAAAGTGACAAAATACACCATGGTTCCAGTTTTTTCCAGGCATTTTCAGCTGCCCTGGTGAAGGTGAGAAATAGGAAAGACCGTTTTAACCAGGCTGGTTAACAAGCAAGTGTGAAGGAGGGGGAAAGGACAAGGAAAAATGGATTATGCAATCTGAAATGGATAAGGAGGGAAATGAAAAATGATAGTAAAAAGGTGGGAGTATCAATGGATTCTAGATTGTGGTAGGATCCAAGAATTGTTGGAGCCAGGATTCTCATTCCTTACAAGTCTTAGGTTAAAACTACGTGCTTCTCATTCCCACAAATCCTTTCCCAGAGAACTATGGGTCATACCTCTCTGCATCTCTAAACCACATTCCTTCCACTCGGCATGCTCTCTGTCAGGCAAGTTTTTACAGAAACGAAAAGCGCGACTCCCAGTTGCAGCTCCACCCATTCTGTCCCCACCTCTAGGAGTTTAGGGCCGGGCTATCTCAGTGGGCCGCCCCTCCCAAACTCACTGTTTGGAACGTTGCTGGACGTCGCTATCCGCCGGCGAAGAACTTCTTTCCAGTCCATGAATGATTCCAGCGCAGCAGCCCTGGCATATGCTCACCGCCACACCCGCTACTAGCTCAGAAGTCAAACACCACTTAACCTCAGAAAGACCGGGAAGGCTGCTCAACCGCCATCTTGGACACTGGCGGAAGCCGGCTAGGGAAGCAAGAAGGATAAATGTAGTCACTGCGTAGAATATGGCGATCACGCTAACTGCCAGGGAAGCAGATGTGAAAGAGATGGAAAATGGTATCCTTAAGGCAGCTTCCCAATTCTACAATGTCAGATTTTAAAAGGCAGGATAAGGCAGTCCTTACTTTTATTTCATCTTGGTCCGTTGACACGTGGGCACCACGTGACTCAAGAGTCCTTTGACATTTCCTTGCGAATATCTGTAGGCCCTGAAGATTCCCCTAAATGTAACAAACACGTCCAACACTCCCCGTCAGCTCTGTCAGCCATTCAAGCTTTCAAAATCACCTCTTTCTCTCGCCGCCGAGCCTTTATCCAGGTCAGCCACGCCCTCACGGCCCGGGTCGTCGCGGTGCATTGTGGGCGTGGTAGTTTACGCCGCAGTTATGGTTGCCTTAATAAAGCGTGAGTGCTCCGGTGAGTTGTTGAGTGGAAGGAACTTGGTTTGTGACTGGTCAGTGCGCTTTAGGCAGTGCCCTTTGTAAACCTTCCTTCCTTCCCTGAGTTATTGGGTCGGCTCTCTTGCCACCTATCCCAACCCATTCCCTCTGACGAGTTCGGCAGTCTGGGGGAAGTCTTTATGCAGGGCCAGGGCCCCTAGACTTTGGCTTCCGCCACTTTCTTTGCTGCTGGTGGGTCTGGGGCTGGGGGCTCTTCCCCTAGGTTTTCGACTTTACTCCTCTTCTTCAGCGAGGCACCCATGGGATCCTGCCCCTTGTCAAGGACAGTTGTGATCCACGTGAGTCGAATTGTGTGGTCCTCCTTGTGCTTTTTCCTCAGGTTCGCAGACTGGAATATAACAGGCATCAGAGATTCCTGCTCTGACCCTTGCTCGGTTCTGCGAATGTGATCTAGGTTGGTTATCCCAGGATCATCATTGTTTAATGGAGAAAAGTCACCGATTTCGTTGCTATTAAGTAACCTTAAAAGCATAGCCTTGATTTTCTGTGAGAAACTGAAAATCACCTTTTAAGAAGCTGCACTTCGACTCCCTGCTCTTTTCTCCAAATTTCTTGATTATGGTGTAAAGTAGAGCGTTTTGAACATCTCTTCACTATTTTGTGCTTATCTCACTGCATAATGATTTTTTGTTTTACTGGTATTCGGAGGTTCCCTAAGCTTTGGAAAAATAATCCATACCTCGGGCTAGGTCCAGGACACTTTTATAACTCTCTCTTTCTGAAAGACTGTTATGGCATCAGGAACCAGCAGAAGTTGTTTTTCCTTCAAGCAGCATCTCCACAAAATACCAAAGCAATAAATTTTCCAATTGCGAAGGCCAGATATCACAGGAAAGGCAACAGTAAAATTTCTTCTGAGTTTCCTCATCTTTTTGCAGCTGGAGCAGCTAAGAAGAGATCACAGATGAATCCTCAGATTAAAGATCATGCCTCGCCACCTGTGAGCAACATTATTCAACTCCCAACAAAACCTTTGAATTCAGAGCAGTGGGATAAACTTAAGGAAGATTTCAAAGGAAAAGCTAATTTTGAAAATTGGATCATTTCACAGATGGCTCGGCACAATAGCTCTGTAGATGTGGCCAAATCTTTGCTGGCCTGGGTAGCTACAAAAAACAATGGTATTGTAAGCTATAATTTGCTGGTCAAGTATTTGTATCTCTGTGTTTTTCATAAGCAGACATCAGAAGTTTTTGATGTCTATGAAATTATGAAAGCCAGATATAAGAGTTTAGAATCTGGAGCAAACACTCTTCTCATCCGGGGATTAATCCATTCAGACAGATGGAGAGAGGCCTTGGTGGTGTTAGAAGACATCAAAAAGGTCATGACCCCTTCAAAAAAGAACTATAATGACTGTATCCAGGGAGCCCTCCTTCATCAAGATGTAAACATAGCTTGGAATTTGTATGAGGAATTGTTAAGTCATGATCTTATTCCTATGATGGAAACTTTAAAAGCCTTCTTTGATTTGGGAAAAGACATAAAAGATGATCAGTATTCAAACAAACTACTAGACATTCTTTTGTATCTAAGAAATAATCAGCTGTATCCTGGGGAATCATTTGCACACAGTATAAAGGCATGGTTTGAGAGGTAATTTGATTTTTTAATGTATGTTTTTATTTTAATACCTATACCTAAAAGTAGCCTTCTTATCCTGTTAGTTGCTGAAATTACTATATTCAGATTATTGTACCTTTCCCATCTTTCAGATTTGTTTTCTCTTTAAGACAAAATTTTCTTTCTCTAAAAAAAGTATTGAATCGTGTAAACAAGTTGTGCTAATCTCTACTATCACAAAAGGGAAATTACACAGAATTTGTAGTTTTTATGTATTTTTCTGCATAGAAGGATCATTTATTTTGTTTCTGAGGTGACTGGCATGTGAGTAGTTACCAATAGCACTTGTGGCTGGAGATAATAGCAAGAAAACTAGCTGTCTTGGGTTAGTATTAGTATTTTCAGAAGTTCTGAAACCTAGTGACTGGTATAATGTGTATAAAAATGTTGTTTAATCTATGCATTTCATCATCCTGGATGGTTAGAGCAAAGGGAGGGGATCCTGATCATACCTGACATGCAAGAATTAGCATGGAAAACCTTCATCCTCTAGTTCTTTTTTTTTTTTTTTAAATTAAATAAATTTATTTATTTTTTTGAATTGTTTATGCTGTTACAGTTGTTCTATTCCCCCCCTTCATTCTCCTCCACCCTGCCCCCCCAACCCCCCCCATTACCCCCCCCTTTAGCTTATGTCCATGTGTCTCAAGTCCTTTAGGTTCTGTATTTCCCATACTATTCTTGCCCCCCCCATCTATTTTCTATCTACTGTCTATGCTACTTGTTTTCTGTACCTTCTCTCCCCGTCTTCTCCTCCCACTCCCCTGTTGCTAACCCTACTTGAGATCTTCATTTCTATGTTTCCACTCCTGATCTAGCTGTCCTTTTAGTTTGCTTTCGTTTTAGGTGTGGTTGTTAATAACTGTGAGCTTGTTGTCCTTTCACTGTTCATGTTTCTTTAACTTCTTTTTCTTAGATAAGTCCCTTTAACATTTCATATAATAAGGGCTTGGTGATGATGAACTCCTTGAATTTGGTCTTATCTGAGAAGCACCTTATCTGTCCTTCCGTTCTAAATGAAAGTTTTGCTGGGTAGAGCAATCTTGGTTGTAGGTCTTTAGTTTTCATGACTTGGAATATTTCTTTCCAGCCCCTTCTTGCCTGTAAGGTCTCTTTTGAGAAATCTGCTGACAGCCTGATGGGGACTCCTTTGTAGGTGATTGTCCCCTTAGCTCTTGCTGCTTCCAGGATTCTCTCCTTCGTTTTAATTTTGGCTAATGTAATTATGATATGCCTTGGTGTGTTTCTTCTTGAGTCCAACTTTTTTGGTACTCTCTGGGCTTCTTGGATTTCTTGGAAGTCTGTTTCCTTTGCCAGATTGGGGAAATTTTCTTTTATTATTTGTTCAAATAGTTTTTCCACTGGTGGTTGTGTCTTTCCCCCTTCTGGTACCCCTATAATTCGGATATTGGAGCGTTTATAGATGTCCTGGAAGTTCCTAAGCTTCTCCTCATTTTTCTGAATTCTTATTTCTTCATTCCTTTCTGATTGATCATTTTTTTCTTCCTTCTGGTTCACTCCATTGAGTTGAGTCCCAGTTTTGTTTTCATCTCTATGGGTTTCCTGTGGAATTCCATTCATTTCCCTTAATTTAGCCTTCATATGTTTCTCTAATTTGTGGCTATAGTCCACCAGATCTGTGAGGAAGCTGACGACCAGTGTTTTAAACTGTGCGTCTGAGAGATTTGCTATTTCTTCGTCACTTAGATTTATCTCCGGGACTTTGAGGTCCCCCTGCGACATTTTTGGTCTGTTCTGGCCCTTTAAGTGAGGGAAGCGGCGCCTTGGAGTCCCAGGTCGCTGGGTTGTGACGCTGTATGTGGGGGCGTGGTCAGAGCGGGGAAAATGGCGCCGCCGCCGCTGCCGCAGCCGGTCCCACCGCTCACTCCCTCACCCGTGCGTAACCGGGCACCCACAGTCAACTCGCTGCCACCGCCTCCCCACTGACTCCTCCGTAGTCGCTCACCCGGTGGGCTGCTCACTAGGTCCAATCCTGGGTTTGGAACCCGTGCGACTGGATTCGCGCGTCTGGATTCCGCGCCCGCGCCCGGGTCCGCCGCAGGTTTCGCCCCTTACCGGTCGGGCCGAAGAATTTGTTGTTTGCGGACTTCCGAAAAGTTCAGTTTTCCGTGTTCTGGTTGTGTTTTCTGATGCTAATATTTAGTTGTCCCTAAACTTGGTTGTGAGAGGAGGCAGGCACATCCACCTTAAACCTCCATCTTGGCGGAAGTCCCATCCTCTAGTTCTGTTTTGATCTTGCCATCATTCACCTACTCTCCATGGCTCTCGCCTTTGCTTTTTCTTTGCTTTTATTCATGTTACTGGCTTCATGCCTATTTGCTGCTTCAGTCTTTTACTTTATTTCTTTACCATTCATTTGTTTCATGTTATTTCCTAAAAATTTATTCCATTTCTCATTTTTCTATTGCTTTCTACTATGTATCATCAGAGCTTTGAAGTAGCAATCAAGCTGATTTACTGAACAAGTTTATTTAACAAACTTACTGAATATCAACAGAAGAGATAGATTGTGAAAATCTTTGACTGCCAAGGATTTTGGGTTTTATTTTATTAACAAGAGTTGGTTTTGGGTTCCAGTTTTAGAAAGGTAACCACCAAAACAGTGAGAAAAGATTGGAGTGGGATTAAAATCAGAAACATGTTTGGAGGCAACTGTAGGTTTGAATGAAAGAGATGAGATTCTGAATTAAGAACTGAAGATGGAGAGAAAGCCATAGAATCAATGCAGTCATGGTAAGAGGAAAGAAGAAATGATATTTTGATTGAGCAAATAAGTATTTTGAATGCCTCTAACTGGGCCAGGCACTGAGGATATTTTGTGTTGTGAGATCTATTATGATCTCATTTCACAGCTGGTAATGCAATACTTGTCAGTACATAATAGAAATGCAGGATGAGAGAAGAAATTACTCTGGGCAGGAACAATCTTTGGCAACTTTATGGAGAAGGTTAGATTTGAGTTTAATTTAGAGGTTACACTATTTATATCAGCTGCTTTCTGTAGCTGCTTTCACAGGTTCTGTGAAGGTAGATTTAAACTTGAAAATGAGGATCCGATGACCAGAGGAGAAGTGAGGGGAAGAAGGAGATGCAGAGTTGGGGAGTAGTACCATCAGCTCCTTAGCCCCAGGACAGTGTAGCAACCACTGTTCTAATGAAATCTTTCTAGGGAAATAGTCTGAACTTGCAGACCTCTAAGCCTACCGAACTTCTAAACTCGGGATTCAGTAGGAGTCCGAGCTGATGATTTGATTTTGCAATCTTTTTTGTAGTGTTCCTGGAGAGCAGTGGAAAGGACGATTTACCACAATCCAGAAAAGGTAAGGCTAGTATTTTATTTTTAAGTTGTTTGATTCAGATTTTAATAGGGTTTTTTGTTACCACTCAAAAAGTTTTTATGATACTTTAGAGATAAGGAAACTAAGAGTTAGAATTACCAAGAAAAGAGCCATATTTTTTACATGGAGAATTTGCAGTGCTCAAAGTGTTTTTCCTGTGGGTGCTATGAGCCTGGTGTGAAGCCTCAAGGATGTTTTCCCCAGTTGTGTTTTAGGACTAACTTTAAAAACTTTATCTGGTTGCCCAGCAGTCTACTTTTTTGAGTTTTCTGGCTCACTAATGTGTGATATTATCGAGTTTATGAAAACCGTATAATGCATGTGATTATCATAGAGGTTTAATATTTTAAAATTATCTTTCAATTTCCTCATGTCTCAGGATTATTCATTTCAGAAAAAGTTCTTTGCCAGGACACTATGTAACAGAAACGATTGTAATTACAGTGGTCAGTGTTTGGGCTGTGGAAAAACCATAGAGTCTATTCATCTGAGTCCAGAAGAGTATGAATTTCTCAAGAGGAAAGTCCTGAGGGATGTGATAGATGGAGGTGACCAGTACAGAAAGACAACACCTCAGGTGAGTCTGGACCAGGTTTTATTGCATTCTTGGTGTCTAGAGCAGGGGATGGCATTTTTTTCTGTAAAAGGCCAGATAGTAAAAAAAAAAAAAAAAAATTTAATCCTCACTCAAGGGTATGTTTGATTTTAGAGAGGGAGGAAAGAGGGCAGAAAGAGAGAGAGAAACATCGATGTGAGGGAAACATCAATTGGTTGCCTCCCACATGCATCCCAACCAGGGAGTGAATCCACAACCTTTTGGTGCATAGAAGGATGTTCCAAGCAACTGAGCCACCAAGCCAGGGCCACATAGTAAATATTTTAAGCTTTGTGGGCCATGCAGTCTCTGTTGCAACTTTTCTATTCTGCTATTGTAGTGAAAACAGCCACAGACAAAACAAATGAGCAAGGCTGTGTTTCAGTAGTATCGTATCATAATAAGCAGGGGGTAGAATTTTTTTTTTATGCAAAGAGAAGCAAAGTGCTGGATTTGGCTCGCTGGGCATAGTTACGAAGCTTTAAGAAAGATTGCTTTAGAGTTTCATAGAACAGTTTAGTTAGACTACTATCCATCTGCTGAAATCAGTCTTACTTCATCTGGACACAAGTGCCCCTAAGCCAAAAAGACAGATGGTTATTCTTTGTCTAAGTGCTTCCATGAAAACATGGTTTCTCACAACTTTACTAGTCAAGAGAGTTTAAGATATCTTAAAATTATTTCCAAGTATTCTTAGTATTAAATTTGATCCTCTAGGTCATTTTCAATAGCATTATTTTGCTAGTATTCAGTATTTGATGCTAGTTTACTAAGATTAAGTTGAAGTAAAATGTTTTTATCTTGGGAAGGGCTGCCCGTCATCTCACTGATACTTTTTCTTCAAAGTACCAAATAAAAACAAGAAGCAAAAATTGTTTTGCCTTCTCACCTTGACCTAATATTGTCAGATAATGCCCCTAGATCATAAGAAAAGCTTTAATCCTCAGAAAAAAGGTCAAAATCTGGTCCATAAAAAACATTATCTCAAAAAAAACACCCCATTATCTCCATTTTATGGAATACCTTTTAGCTGACTTTATTGATAAAATTTTAGTTAACATATTATTGAGTGATGCTAGATACTTTACATTCATTATCTTATATCTTTTTTATTTATTTTTACAGAGCAGGGCAGGGAGAAAGAGGGAGAGAAATATCAATGTGTGGGTGCCTCTCACACGCCCCCTACTGGGGATCTGGCCTGCAACCCAGGCATGTGCCCAACAGGGAATTGAACTGATGACCCTCTGGTTCCCAGGCTGGCACTCAGTCCTCTGAGGCATACCAGCCTGGGCTCATTATCTTACATCTTTTTTAATCCTTACAACCACCCTAGATGGTAATGTTTTATTTCTACTTTACAAATAGAGAGATTGAGACTTTGGGAGATTAAATCTGCTAGAGGACACCTTGGTAATAAAATCTAGGTTTGACTTCTCTCCCTGAGCCCTGCAAACTTTTTTTTTGTTACACTCTACTGCCATTCATGGAATAAAAATTTATAATAACAACTGTAGCTAACAGTTAACTGGTTGTAGCAGCTCTTTAATGCCAGGAATTTCTGTCAGCTAAAATATGAAAGAAATAGATTTCCTTTCTCTTATCAAATGTCTGTTGAACATTTCTGAGTATCTTCTGAAGTAGGTGTTAAGAGAGATGCAAGGTTGTATGAATAATGCTGTTTGCTACCAAAAACTTACTATTTCTGTTTCTTTTGTGGACTAATTGAACGTTCTTTCTACCCTCCTTTTAAAAAAAAAAAATTTGGTAGTTTCTTAAAAAAATTTTTATTTGTTGATTTTCTTAAGAGACGGGGTGGGGAGGGTAGAAGGAGAGAAAACAGAGAGAGAGGAGAGAAGATACCAATTTATTTTTCCCCTTATTCATGCATTCATTGGTTGATTCTTACATGTGTCTGGACTGGGGACTGAACCCACAACTACAGCGTATTGGTATGACAGTAACCAACTGAACTACCTGACCAGGGCTCCACCCTCCATTTTTTTATTTAGTAAAATTTTCAACCTAAAAGAAAACGGTGCGGAGCCACAGAAGCGCCGGCGCCTGGCAGGGGGGGCCCGCCCCAACAAAAAACAACCCCCAAAAAAAAAAAAAAGAAATGAAAAAGCACAATGGATACCTACATGCTCTTTATCTAGAGTAACCAGTTGTTATTATGGCACAAATACTTTCTTTCCACATATGTGTTTTTATGAACTATTAAAAAATAAGTTATAGGTATGTTGCTGTAAATGTTTCAGCAAATATTTTCTAAGAATAAGAAAATTCTGTGTAATTAAATACCATTAGTTCAGTGTCATTTATTTTATTTTATTTTTTAATTATATTTTATTGTTTATGCTATCGCAGTTGTCCCTACTTTTCCCCCTTTTGCCCGTCTCTGTGCCCCATTCCCCAGGCAGTCCCCACATTGTTGTCAGTGTCCGCGAGATCTTTCTTCTGTCCAGTTGCACCTCCCCCCACCCTCCAAGAGCTGTAAGTCTGTCCCATGTATCTATATGCCACTGTTTCTGTTTTGTTCGCTAGTTTATTTTGTTTATTAGAGTCCACATATAGGTAAGATCATAAGTTGTCTTTCATCGACTGGCTTATTTCACTTACCGTAATAGTCTCCAGCTCCATCCATGCTGTCCCCAAAAGTAAGAGTTCCTTGCTTTTTAGTTCTGTGTAGAGTATTCCATTGTGTAAATCTCATGGCTTTTTTATCCATTCATCTACTGATGGACACTTGGGCTGTTTCCAGATTTTGGCTATTGTAAATAATGCTGTTACAAATATAGGAATGTATATGTTCTTTTGAATGGATGTTTTGGGCTTCTTAGAATATATTCCTAAAAGAGGGTTAAAAGGCAAGTTCCATTTTTAATTTCTTGAGGAAACTCCATACTGTTTTCCACAGTGGCCATGCCAGTCTGCATTCCACCAACAGTGAACTAGGGTCCCCTTTTCTCCACAGCCTCACCAGCCCTTGTTTGTTGATTTATTGAGGGTAGCCATTCTGACATGTGTGAGGTGATACCTCATTGTGGTTTTAATTTGCATTTCTGTAATAATGAGTGATGTTGATCATATTTTCATATATCTATGTGCCATCTGCATGTCCTTGTTGAAGGAGTGTCTATTCAAGTCATTTGCCAATTTTAAAAAGTTTTTTTAAAGATTTTTATTTTATTTTATTTTTAGAGAAAGAGGAAGGAAGGGTAATGGAAACGTCAATGTGGGAGAGAAAGAGTGATTGGTTGACTCCTGTATTCCTTCTGATAAGGGATCAAACCCACAACCAAGGCATGTGCACTGACTGGGAATCAAACTGGCAACCTTTGGTTTTTACAGATGATACCCAATCAACTGAGCCACACTGGTCAGGGCCTTTATCCATTTTTTAATTGGATTGTTTGTCTTCATGGTATTGAGTTCTTTATATATTTTAGAAATTAAATACTTATTAGATGTATCATTGGCAAAAATATTCTCCCATACAGTGGGTTCCCTTTTCATTTTGATTATGGTTTCTTTAGCTGTGCAGAAGTGTTTTAATTTCATATAGATCTATTTGTTTATTTTTAATTTTTTTCTTTGTTTCCCTTGCCCTAGGAGATATATTGGCAAAAATATTGCCATGTGAGAATTCTGAAATTTTATTGCCGGTGTTTCTTTTAGGATTTTTATGGTTTCATGACTAACATTTAAGCCTTTTATCCATTTTGTGTTTATTCTTGTGTATGGTATAGGTTGGTGGTCTAGTTTCATTATTTTTGCATGTGCCAGTCCAGTCTTCCAAACAGCATTTATTAAAGAGACTGTCTTTACTCCATTGTATGCTCTTGCCTCCATGAAGATGGTATGTGCTTCCACTTTTTGTATCTTCCTCAATTTCTTTCTTCAGTGTCTTATAGTTTTTCAAGTCAGGTTGTTTACTTCCTTGGTTAAATTTATTCCTAGGAACCCAATTTTTTTTTGTTGTTTAATAGTAAATGGGTTGGTTTTCTTAATTTTTTTCCTAATAGTTTATATTATTGCTGTATAAGTATTTCTAAGTATTGATTTTGTATCCTGCTACTTTGCTGAATTCATTCATTAGGTCTAGTAGTTTCTTGGTGAATTCTTTAGGGTTTTCTTTATACACTCTAACATAGTCAGCAAATAATGACAGTTTCACTCCCTCCTTTCCAATTTGGATGCCTTCTATTTCTTTTTCTTGTCTGATTGCTATAGCGTGGACTTTTAGTACTATGTTGAATAAGAGCAGTGGAAACAATTCAGTATCATTTAATAAATTTTCCCAGCTATTTCCCAGATTGTATTTTATAACTTTTTCCCCTTCAGTCCAAGATTCAATCAAGATTCATTCTTTGCTTTTGGTCATTATGCCTCTTTAAATCCATAACAGTCTCCTCTGTTCTTTTTTTGTTTTTATGACATTGACTTTTTTGAAAAGTCTGGGTGTTTTGACTTGTATAAGGTTTTTAAAACTTCACACCTATGGATAACTTGAGGATATGGTTAAAATGCAAATTATGGTTCAGTTATCTGGAGTGGGGCCTGAGATTCTGTGTTTTCTTAAGATCCCAGGTGATGTGTTCATGGTCTTTGGACTACATGTTGAGTAGCAAGACTTTGTATTAATTGTTTGATTATTTTCTTTTCATTAATTCAGTATAAAAGCATTTGAACAGACTACATGAATGATGCTCTGTGTGTCTTATTTAGTCACAGGAGCCACATAATGTCAGGCTATGCTTATTCTTGCCGGTGTTAAATTTGATCACTACATTAAGAGGCTAACTGCCAGATATCGCCATTGGAAAGGTACATTTTTCCCTTTATAATTTCTTTGTAATCTTTCCCTTTGTAATTTTTGTAAGTAAAAATTAAGAGATCTGTGGAGTAATACTTCAAGACTATGCAGATAACCTATCACCCATTAATTCTTTACTCAGTGTTTTTAGAATCATGGAGAT